GGGAAGTGGCAGCCAATAGTGAAAGGACCAAGGCAGAGACATCTCCAGCTCATCCCCTGTTTGGGTATCAGCCAGCACGTCAACGACTTAAATCCAGACATAGTTTCTAAGATCTACAGAGACACTCGCTGGAACACCTCAGCAAGCGAGAGTCCAAAAGTGGCAGGCTCAAACCCAGAACCTCAACCAATGGCTGATACCAAATGAGAGACTCCCCCCTGGGCACACAGAAGACTGGGCGACTTGGAAGGCGCTGAACAGACTGCGCTCTGGCACCACGAGATGCAGAGCCAACCTTCAGAAATGGGGCTACAAAGTGGAATCCACGACATGCGAGTGCGGAGAGGAGCAAACCACTGACCACCTGCTGCAATGCAACCTGAGCCCAGCCACATGCACAATGGAGGACCTTCTTGCAGCAACACCAGAGGCACTCCAAGTGGCCAGATACTGGTCAAAGGACATTTAATCAACTACCAAACTCACACATTTTGTATTTTCTCTGTTTGTTTGCTTTGTTCTGTTAGAAATGTAATATAATTGACTGGCTGCCCTGACACGAGAAATAAAATAAATAAATGATTCTATGAATCCGAGCAGCCCAAATTCAACTCTTTTCCAGTTTTCAGGGAGGAATCTCAGGGTGAGAGCGCTGCACTTTCATACGCATGTTCCTCATTTGTTAGGTTGGATGTTCTTGATCTGAAGGGATTTTCACTTTCTTAGCAGATCTTGGGTTCCTAAACCCAGCGAATGCGGAGGGTTATATATGGAAAATATGACAAAATCCAAAATACTTCTGGTGCCAAGCATTTCCGAGAAGGGAGACTCAACTAGTCTTGCAAATAAATGAATAAATATTCTGATTTATTATCTGATTTATTGATCATACTAAATTTATTATTATTCTGATTTAAGGGAAGAGAAGGAACATGGCACACCCTCTGGTGGCAAGAATGAATTTGATGGGAATTTCTGTAGCCTTTTCGACAAGCTTCTGTGTCTTTTCCATCAGCATCTGCCACTTAGCTGACATGAAATGAGCAAACCTTTCCATTGCCACGGGGAACTTCAACCTGGAGAGACACAACCACTCGGCTTGCTTTTCTTCCTTTAAAAAAAAAAAAGGATGGACTTAATAGCTCCGGCATTGTTTGACATTTGGGTTTTACTCACTGGAGGAAGCCGCGCTAATTACTTCTTGGCTTCACGGCCCACGTTTTATGAAGTGCCCACGACATTTCTCCCAGTTCAATGTGGCACTGTTGTGATCCACACATGTGGTATATATCACCTGCTCTCAATATCTGGATCAGTAATTCTCAAGCTGTGTGTGGAGAAGGAATTAAAATAGATCGAACGATTAAAGACTCTCTGTAAGGTTTTACTACAAGGAGATGCAAAATCAGAGATGGAAGGGACCCCAAAGGGCATCTAGCCCAACTCCGTTCTGCTAGGCAGCAAGACACAGCTAAAGCCCTCCTGAGAGATGACCTGCTTCGAATTGTCCTCCCACCCACCCTGCATGTTCATGATTTTGTTCATTGTTGCAGTTGTTGTTCATTATCTGTTCGTCACAACTTTGGTTGGCATGTGGCATGGGCCCTGGATCTGGTTCTGCCCCTCCCCTATTGGTGGGGAGGGAGCATCCGGCGGTTTCCAGGGGTGCCGTGTCATGTGGCCCGGTATTGTGCCAGTGGACCCCATGTTGGACTCATCAGGTATCGGTCAGCAGCGGGCTGATCGATCTTGATCCAGAACCCATGCCTAGCAGCCAACCCTGTATTCCTGTAATTAATAAATTAAGTTGTGGCCATTTTTACTCCATCTACGCGTCTGTCATCTCTGGTTCTGTGGGAGGGAGGGGTGTTGCCCATCCACACGCAAATGAGGATTTAAAGATTGAACTGCAAAGACTCTGGCACAAGCCAGTCAAGGTGGTCCCAGGGGTGATCGGCACACTGGTGCAGTGCCTAAAGACCTTGGCCTGCACTTAAACACAATTGGTGCTGACAGAATTACCATCTGCTAGCTGCAGAAGGCCACCTTTCTGGGATCTGTATGCATTATTCGCCGATACACCACACAGTTCTAGACACTTGGGAAGTGTCTGATGTGTGATCCAATACAACAGACAGAAGAGTGATCTTGTTTGCTGTGGACTCATCTTGTTGTGTTTCAAGTAGTAGTAGTAGTACTAGTAGTAATAATAATAATAAATTAATTGCTATGGCACAAGCCAGTAAAGGTGGTCCCAGTGGTGACTGGCACACTGGGTGCAGTGCCTAAAGGCCTTGGCCTGCACTTAAACACAATTGGCACTGACAAAATTACCATCTGTCAGCTGCAGAAGGCCACCTTACTGGGATCTGCACACATTATTTGCTGATACATCATACAGTCCTTGGGAAGTGTCCGATGTGTGATCCAATACAACAGCCAGCAGAGTGTCTGCTGTGGACTCATCTTGTTGTGTTTCAAATAATAATAATAATAATAATAATAATAATAAATAATAGGTTCTTGTGGGTTTTTTTGGGCTATAGGGCCATGTTCTAGAGGCATTTCTCCTGACGTTTCGCCTGCATATATGGCAAGCATCCTCAGAGGTAGTGAGGTCTGTTGGAATTAGGACAATGGGTTTATATATCTGTGGAATGGCTGGGGTGGGGCAAGGAGCTCTTCCCTGCTGGAGCTAGGTGTGAATGTTTCACCTGATCACCTTCATTAGCATTTGAAGGCCTGGCTGAGCCTGGGAAAATCTTGTTGAGAGGTGTTAAGATGTGCCTGGTTGTTTCCTCTCTGTTGTTTTGCTGTTGTAATTTTAGAGTTTTTTAATACTGGTAGCCAGATTTTGTTCATTTTCATGGTCTCTTCCTTTCTGTTGAAATTCCCCACATGCTTGTGGATTTCAGTGGCTTCTCTGTGTAGTTTGACATAGTGGTTGTGAGAGTGGTCCAGCATGTCTGTGTTTTCAAATAAAATGCTGTGTCCAGGTTGGTTCATCAGGTGCTCTGCTATGGCTGACTTCTCTGGTTGAAGTAGTCTGCAGTGCCTTTCATGTTCCTTGATTCGTGTCTGGGCGCTGCGTTTGGTGGTCCCTATGTAGACTTGTCCACAGCTGCATGGTATACGGTAGACTCCTGCAGAGGTGAGAGGATCCCTCTTCTCCTTTGCTGAACGTAGCATTTGTTGGATTTTCTTGGTGGGTTTGTAGATTGTATGTACGTTGGCTTATATCCGAACAGGGGATGAGCTGGAGATGTCTCTGCCTATTGGCTGCTACTTCCCGGCGGATGTCAGGTGGTGCAATACCGGCTAAACAGTGTAATTTCTCCAGTGGTGTAGGGCGCAGACACCCCGTGATAATGCGGCATGTCTCATTAAGAGCCACACCTACCGTTTTAGCATAGTGAGATGTGACTGGGTAAAGGTAAAGGTTTTCCCCTGATATTAACTCGAGTCATGTTTGACTCTGGGGGTTGGAATTCATCTCCATTTCTAAGCTGAAGAGCCGGCGTTGTCCGTAGACACCTCCAAGGTAATGTGGCCGGCATGGCCGCATGGAGCACCGTTACCTTCCCGTTGGAGTGGTACCTATTGATCGACTCACATTTGCATGTTTTCGAACTGCTAGGTTGGCAGAAGCTGGGGCTAACAGCGGGAGCTCACACTGCTCCTCAGATTCGAACCTGCGATCTTTCAGTCAGCAAGTTCAGCAGCTCAGCACTTTAACCCACTGCACCACTGGGGGCTCCTATATTTGACTGGAGTTATACTTTAAAAATGTACTTGTTCTGACTTACATATACGTTCAGTTTAAGAACAAAGTACAGAACCTAACATGAGGACTGCTTGTACACATCGACTTTTATACATAAAGAGATAAATGGGGTGTCCATTTGTTTTCCCAGTTCCACAGCATCAAACCCCAGGGCTGTTCCTGGGCTTAGCCAGCAATGTGATTCTTCTAAGTTTGTTCCCCCAAATCAGCTTGATATTCAGCTCTTCTCCTTGAGATGCCTCCATGCTATCCCAGCAGGAAACTGGCAGCATCAATTCACACCTCCAGAGGACATTACTTCTTTGCTTTCATTCTCCAGCCTTTTGAGCTGCCCAGACAAGCCCAGCCATCCCTTCTCTGATAAAGACAAAATAAAAGGGAAAGGCAGAAGGAATGAGGTTTCTTTTTCTCTCCCAGAGGAGAGAGTCCTCCGCTCGGCACCACAAGGCCAAGGTGTGAATGAGATGCCTGCGTTCCTTCCTCCGAGAGCGGTGGATTTCACACTTCTGGATGCAGTGTTTTTCAGGCTTTGCAGTGAATGCCCAGGCTTCTCCCTTTGCCAGCCCCTTATGGGCAAAATGTGCCACCTTCCAATGTAAACTGCAGGGCACCTGGATGGCAGGTAGAACATTGGAAATGTGACGCCAGCCTCCCAAGCGAGGCCTCTGTTTGGCCTGATGTGTCCAAATCAAAGTTCCAACGAACACAGGCATATCTCAGTCAAAAAAACAAATCAACTCTTATCCTTCAGTCCTAAATCACAGCAACCATCCTATACTTTGGATAGAAGCAAACACAGACTCTTAAGAGTTGGAAGGGACCTCTAAAAGACATCCAGTTCAGCCCCATTCTTCTAGACAGGAAGACACAATTTGAGCCATCCTGACAGATGGCCATCCAGCCTCTGCTTAATTTTTCTTCATTTTTACAGGGGTCCTGTGACCCTAATCTCTGAAAGTACCGCATAAAGGATTCACAACCGTACTGTTTCAATTCCCTTCCAAATTGGCTGACAGCATTCTATTCGTGAGACTTTTACTTACATTTTGTGCCATGGTGTATTTTTATGCTGATTCCTGATGTTGGTCATATAAAATATATGTGATTGAACTCATGTTATTTACTGGAAAGTGGGAAAATGCTTCATTGAAGCACCTGGCTTTTGCATTTTAAACAACCCTATTTGAGATGGTGACAAAAAGGAGTGCATTCAGTATTGATCCATCAGGCTATTTTTTTTATTAAAATACCATATTCTGCCAAATATCATAAGATCCTTGGGCAGCTGGCAATGACATCAGTTGGAACAACTGAAAACACAAACTAATGGTCAGTCTAAAAAGGTGTTTGCGGGGTCCATAAGGATGCAATAGGTGAGCATAACAGTGAAACAAATCAGAGGCAGACATAGCTCAAACATGACTTTCTGTCCAGGTCCAAACTGACAATACATTGGCTTTTATGTACATTATTTTTCAAAACTGTACAGGTTGTTCCAAAGTTGGGGGCGGGAAGAGCTATAGCCGCAGCTAAGCTGTTTGCTGAAAAGGTTGGCTCCGTCTCTCGCTTTAAAAAAGAAGCCAACGTGGCAATTCTCCAGGTTGGCAGGCGAATGCAGCCATTGTTGCGTTCTCTAATCCTCCTCCAGCGAGAGGAGAGACCCCAAGGTGGTGACGGTGGAGTCTTGCGGATATCTAGCGGGGGGTCCGGTGAAGTCTTCTTTGGAGGCGGTCGAAGCATGGGATCCATTTGGGCATCAACGTCTTCCCTACCGTGGCTTGGTTCGAAACTGGGGAAGGAAACAAAGAAGACATATTGCCTGCGTTGTCCCTTTGGAGGTAAACAGACCAATTGGGGACAATAGGTCACTCTGGGGTCCTGATCCACTCAGGTACCAGGTTCGAGTCATAATATGCCATGCCATGCCATGCCACCCACCTGTTCCGATTTGGCTGAGACAGTCCCAAATAATCTCATCACCTCACTGTGTTTTTTAAAAAAGGTTTCTCTCCCATCCTTCTATTTCCTTCATTTCTCTCAGCTTAATTCAATGGTTGAAAACTGAGTTCACAGTATAAGTAGCTTGCACACCATTAACTCAACAAAGGAGGAGAAGAGGATGGAATTTTTACCTTCCCAGTTAGCTCAGACAAAAGCAAACTGCTGCAGCCTCTTTTAGCCTCAATAGCACCTGCCATTTTGAACACAATCCAATGATCAATGACAGCCAACCGCTAGTCCTCCAAGCATTTTGGACTTCAACTCCCAGAAGCCTCCGCTGCCTTGGCCAATGATCAGGGATTCTGGGAGCTGAAGTCCAAAACACCTGGAAGATCAGTTTGGGAAACACTGCTAAAGATGCTGAAGTGATGTACAGTCTGACTTCTGTATTTTTACTGATCCGTATTTGACAAAGTATGTCCTCCCTTGGCATTTTCTAGGTCCTCAGGCAAGACGCTATGGCATTCCTTCATTTCAATAGAGCTTTTTTTTTTTTTTGCGTTTCACATGCAAACCAGGAACATACCCCTTGCAGATATGGCGTACGTTCTATACGGTTAGTAATTTAGTAACAAAGAGGTAATTCAACAAAGGCTAAACTAATATAGGATGTTTGTGGAAGGCCCAAATACCTGAAAGGTACCAGATCCTGTCTGATCTTGGAAGTTAAGCAGGGTCAGCACTGATGAGGACTTGGATGGGAGATGATCAATACATCCCAGGTGCCGTAGGCTCCATTTTAGACAAAGGAACTGGCAAAACCACCTCAAAGTTGACAGGTGACTTAAAGGTACATGGATGCATGCATATAGCACACATGTGAGAGCTTGCTCATGTTCCTTGTCAGTCTTCTGGAAATCCAGCCCACTGTTGGCATTCCTTGTGCCAACCGAGGCCTTCGGAAGGGGTTCTCTTGGGCAGGAGGGAGGAGGCGATGCACGAAGACGGTGCCTGCATTACCAATGCGCCCGCCGGTGAATTTCCAAGGGATTTGTTGTAATTAGATGACAAAACACCGGCAAATCTCGCGCGTGCTGGAGATGTTACTCCGGGGTCAAAGACTCGACACTTTGGGCCGGGTAATTTGTAAGTGTCAATCACGCTCAGGCATCAGAGGAAAGGCAAAGCCAAAAGCGGCTGCATTCCTGCAAAGTCCAGCGCTCCTGGCCTTGGGGCATCCTCTCCTTTCCAACCCTTTGAGGCCGGCATGCAAATGCTGTCTTCGAGTCTTCTCTCCTTGACTTACTTATTTATAGCCTCCTCGCACTTGAAGGCTCAAAGTATGTGCAAGTTCTCTCCCTTTGGGTACAGCCATAGATGCTTGCAGTAGTATTTTTGTCCCTTCGTTTCAAAGAGATCTGGAGGTTGGAATGCACAAAATCCCATGGAGGAAAGGTGGATCCGCAGTATGCAATCACTACAGTTTGATACCGCTTCACATCCCATGGTTGCATCCGATGGAATCACAGGATTTTGACGTTTGAGTGAGGGACTTTAATTCTCTGCTAGATGGGTCTTGTTCATTCCCATTTATGGTACAACCTCATATCCATGGAGGATATGTTCCAGGACATATCGGATGAACATAAAACCATGGATAATAGCTAATTTTACTGAAATTAATGGCTTTTGTGGAAGCCTACCATAGATTCTTATCAGAGGACATAGAAAACGCTTAGAGATTACCATATTTCTAATATTTCTAGATGCCTCAGTGTGCCTCTGTGTTTAACTTCCAGCAGAAACATATCACCAAATTGTGTTGGAGGACCTCGAAAATGCCTAGAGGGAGTTTCAAAGGGTAATTCAAGAGCTGAGATGGTATTGTGGATGGGCAGCTTGAGTTAGGGAATCCTAGTGTTGGAAGAGACCCCAAGGGTCATCCAGTCCAACCTCATTATGCAGGAAAACACAATCAAAGCCTTCATGACAAAGGGTCATCCAGCCTCTGCTTAAAACCCTTCAGAGAAGGAGAATCCAATGAACTCCCTGGCAGCATATTCCACTCTCAAACAGCCCTTTCAGTCAGGAAGTTCACTTTAATGTTCAGATGGAATCTCTTTTCTTACTATCTGAATCGATGGTTCCCTTTTGTCCTAGTCTTCAGGGTAGCAGAAAAGAAGACTGCTTCCTGTCCCCCTCCCTCAGCACCTTGAAAACCATGGTTTCATGATGGGACCAGGGACTAGTGAGATCTTTCTGGGCCAAATGGACTTTCTAGACTCAGCCTTGGTAAGTGAGAGCCAGGAAGAAGTTAACCAGGCCTCTGGCCACCGGCAGTGGGGAGCCCCCACGAAGGCTGCCGCGCTGTCCGCCTGCCAGGGCCGCTCTCTCCTCCGTCTGCTAAGAGCGATGCCTATTATTTTGTTGGCACCGGGGCCCTGGTTTGCATATTTCACCGATTCAGGTCACATCGCGTACACACGCATGCCATCGCCAGCGTCTGTTGATAGCCTCGGTCTCGCGCCCAGCTTCAGTTTGAGGTGAAAGCCTTCCTTATTAGCCAATTTGGATACCCATTTACTGTGAATTACTCAGCCTGATTATTATTCATGAATGGATAAATGTGAAATCTCAGCTCCCCGCCACGCCGCTCTCTCTCTCTTTCGCCTCCCTTCCTCCCGGTGAATACATTTCGAGAAGCAGAGCAGGAGGAAAGCTGCCGTTTGGCCACGTCTCTGGTAGACAAGGCAGTTGTTGCCCCAGGAAAGGAGGGCTTCTCCCATATTCCAATGTTCACCAGAAAGCATGAGACAAGAGAGAAACACCCTGACAAAAATCACAACCATCCTTACCTTGGTAGCTAAGGAAAATGTCTAGTACTACACTTAGGCAACCCCAACACAAATAAAGGATGGGTGAGACCTGTCTTGAAAAACGTCCATGAGAAAAGGATCTAGGTGTTGTCATAGACTGCAAGCTGACCATGAGCCAACAGTATGATGTGGCAGCTCAAAAGTCCAATGAAGTTCTAACCTGCATCAACAGCAGTCTAGTGTTGAGATTGAGGGAAGTCATAGTCTGCCTTGATTCTGCTTTGGTCAACTACAAATTTGGTCAACTACAAATTTAAGCATATTGACTATTTGTGCCAAGTTTGGTCCAGATCCATAACTGTTTGAGTCCACAGTGCTCTCTGGATGCAGGTGAACTACAACTCCAAAACTCAAGGTCAATGCCCACCAAACCCTTCCAGTATTTTCTGTTGGTCATGAGAGTTCTGCGTGCCAAGTTTGGTTCAATTTTGTTGTTGGTGGAGTTTAGAATGCTCTTTGATTGTAGGTGAACTATAAATCCCAGCAACTACAACTCCCAAATGACAAAATCAACCCCCCCCCCCAACCCAACCAGTATTCAAATTTGGGCGTATTGGCTATAGCAGTCTAGTGTCGAGATTGAAGGAAGTGATAGTCTGCCTCGATTCTGCTTTGGTCAGACCTCACCTGGGATAATAATCCTGTATCCAGTTCTGGGCAAAGCAATTCAAGAGGGAGATGGACATGCTAGAAGGCATCCAGAGAAGGCTGGCCAAAATGATACCCATGCTTTATGTTGAACTTTTCTTTTTCTGAATGATTAAGAAATTCAAAGAAGGAAGTGCAAAGGCAGATCGACAGCTGAATATTGAGGAGATGAAAATCATGACCACAGGTGGTTCACATCACAAAGTTGACCGTTATGCGTTGAAATGGTTCAAGTTTTTCATTGCTTGGCTCAGTTGTTTATCAGTCCAGAAATGAGAAGACTGGGACTTGGAAAGGCAGCTGCGAAGGAACTAGACAGGATTCTGAGGTGTCAAGATGTATCATAGACTACTAAAGTTAGGATGACCCCACCCCCCACCCCCAACAGTATGCAGTCGTGTTGCCCATTACTGTTACTGGACAATGAATAAAGTGGATAGGAAGAAAACCAATTTATTTGAGATGTGGCACAGGAGAAGTGTTCTATGGAGACCATGGTCTGCCAAAAAGACAAATAAATAGGTCTTAAAGCAGCGTTTCTCAACCTGGGGGTCGGGACCCCTGGGGGGTCGCAAGGGGGTGTCACAGTATTTTCTGTTGGTCATGGGGATTCTGTGTGGATGTTTGGCCTAATTCTATCGTTGGTGGGGTTAAAGGGGCTCTTTGATTGTAGGTGAACTATAAACCCCAGCAACTACTACTCTAAAATATAAAGATCTATTTTCCCCAAACTCCACCAGTGTTCAAATTTGGGCATATTGAGGATTCGTGCCAAGTTTGATCCAGATCCATCATTGTTTGGGTCCACAGTGCTCTCTGGATGTAGGTGAACTACAATCAAAACTCAAGATCAATGCCCACCAAACCCTTCCAGTATTTTCTGTCGGTCATGGGAGTTCTGTGTGCCAAGTCTGGTTCAATCCCATCGTTGGTGGAGTTCAGAATGCTCTTTGATTGTAGGTGAACTATAAATCCCAGCAACTACAACTTCCAAATGACAAAGTCAACCACCCCCAACCCCACCAGTATTTAAATTTGGGTGTATTGGGTATTTGTGCCAAATTTGGTCCAGTGAATGAAAATACATCCTGAATATCAGGATGTATACTTACATTACGATTCATAACAGCAGCAAAATTACAGTTATGAAGTAGCAACAATAATAATGTTATGGTTGGGGGTCACCACAACATGAGGAATTGTATTAAGGGGTCACAGCATTAGGAAGGTTGAGAAACTGTCTTAAAGCAAGCCTAAATTTTCCCTAGAATCCAACATCATTCAACTGAGGCTGTTGCACTTTGGCCATATCATTGAGAAGACAGGGCTCCCTAGCAAAGACGGTAATGCTTGGAAAGGCAGAAGGCAGTAGGAAGAGAGGAAGATCCCATTCCAGATGGATATATTCAGTCAAGGAGGACCTGTTGAAGATAGGTCATTGTTTCATGGGGTTGCCATAAGTCGAAGTCATCATGATGGCAGGACCCATAGCCATCCAGGTGCTGTTGGACTCCAGAACCCATCGTTTCTCAGCTAACATGGCAAACTCCTTGAGATTATGGGACTTGTAGTCTGCAGATCTGGGGCCTCATAGATTCCGAGAGCACTTCATTGGGAAAGACTTGTCTACTCTAAGATAATCCACCAACCTCTTTTTTTGTGAAATTCAGCTTCATTAAAGAGGTAATGACATTCAGTCTGGACAAAGGTGAACCCCAAAGAGTGTTTGGGTATGATGGGTTAAATCAATCTTCATAAAAAATGTAAACTTCAGAATGCACTTTTGGTACACTTCCTCCTCACCCTCCTCCCCACCCCACCTCACCAGTGCCTTTGAACATCTGACTGGCAAGTATTTCATATTCCAATCTCAGCAGAACAAATTGAATTAGATGTCGAAACCGGGCTCGTCTCCCTCTGCAAAAGCCTACCTGCTCGGCTTGCACTAATCTGTCAGCAGAGCACAGAGCGCCATCTTTGTGGAGGGGGCCAGAGAGAGAGAGCCACCCTGCCATGAAAGCCAAGGTGGCAAAGGGGAGGAAGAGGAAGACGGGGACCCAAACCGCCCCTGGAAGAGCTCCACCAACACTGTCTGTGTCCTAGCGTCTATCTCAATTATTGCACTACCATCTCTGGATTTACCCCAGCTCCACATTTTCCATGGGAAATGATTGGGATGGCAGCTTTGCTCTTTACCCAATGCGTATTTTCTGCATGGATTCCTCAGCCAGGGCTTTCCGGAGAGCCAAACATCCAATGATCCAAAGGGTCTAACGTCTCCCCCATTTGGGGCTCCATTTGAATTCCAATCAAAGGGGCCGGATTAGCCAAGCTAGAGCACTTTCTAATCCTATCTGGATATGAAGGGAAGATATGAAGGTCGGAGGTTTGAATCCAGGGAAAGTGAAGATGAGCTCCCTCCGTCAGCTCCAGCTCCCAATGCGGGGACATGAGAGAAGCCTCTCACAAGGATGGTAACACATCAAAAACATCTGGGGGTCCCCTGGACAACGTCCATGCAGACGGCCAATTCTCTCACACCAGAAGTGACTTGCAGTTTGTCAAGTCACCCCTGGCAGGAAAAAAATATATATAAAGGGAACATCTTCACTGACCATTTAATGCAGGTTGAAACCAGTATTGAAGAAAGTGGTTTCTTGGTACAAATCATTCCATATGAAATCTTGGAACCCATTTGATGACACAAACCGCAGAACACTGATGTGCATTAAGATTTTCTTTTGCAGAATTTTGGGGGCGTTTGTTGTCTGGCTGCCACAGTATCAAGCTGCTTTAATTGCTCAACAGAGATGGGGCCTCAGTTCTGTTTTCTTACTTATTTAATTTATATGCCACCTTTCTCCCCAAGGTGGCATCCAAAAACAATCCCTACTGAGCTCTCCGGGCAAAGATATCACAGGGAGGGATCTGGAGCCACTCTTACAGAAACACTGTGGGATGTGGGCAGCTCCAGCCTCCCTGGCATCTTGCCTTGTACCAAAAGACCCTATCGATGCCAAGCCTGGATGGAGTCTAAGATGTACAAAAAGGCACATGATGAGATCAACTGGGAGGAAGAAGCCATGCATTTAGACTATATAATGCCAGGTCGGAGCTATTGGGCACAATGGCAAGCGGGATGATCACACAGAGCATAGGGATCATAGAGGGCACTTCAATGGCTAAAAAGGGAGAACTAGAAAGTGTTTTCTACATGATGAAAGGCCCAGGAAAAGGGAGACCAAGCCAACAGGGAAGATGAACTTTAAAGGCTGAAGTAAAAGTGGAAGAAGGACCCAAAAGAGTTTGACTGGCATGACTATCAGCATAGGGATCAGTTCACGGAGGTTGCTCTGCCTATTGTGTATTATCATCAGCCTATATGAACAGGATGTTCACATCCATAGGGTGTTCTCTGTTACTACAAGGAAATGGTTGGGAGAAGCCTCGACATCAGTGTGTAAGGTCTAGACCAGCAGTGCCCAACCTTTGGTGATCCAGGTCTTTGGGACTCCAGCCCTGGCCAGCTTGTCCAATGCTCAGGAATTCTGGGAGCCAATGTCCCAAACACCTGGAGCACCAAAGATTGGACATCAGTGGTCTAAGACTGAAAGATGCTTTGGATGGTACCGATGATGTTTACACACCAGATAGGGGCCTAAAAGATGGGGTGAAGCAGGTAATTGCTTCATGTTCTGAACAGAGAATTGGTCTCATAGTGCCATTCACACAGCTCTCAATTGAATGATTCCAACTCCACCCACCTTGCTGTCTGGTGGAGTAGACCTAGCTGTCTCCCTCGCTGTCTCCCTCATCTTCCAGCTTGTCCAAGATTTCTTCTAGGACAGCCGAGCGTTTCTTCTTCTTGGGCGCAGAATCTGTGGGGGTTCAAGCAAGGAATGGGAGAGAGAAGGGAAAAGAGTCAGCTTTAGCATCATATACTTATCCTCTGACCATGCCTCCCTTTGATAAGCCCCCAGCAAAAGCAAATACAACACAGATGAGCATTGCACAACCAAGCTTTCCCCAAAATGTCCCCCCCAAAGATCAGTCATCCTTCCTCCCTGCAGCTGAGGAATCAAACAACAGTGTCTAGGATGGGAGCCTAAAAGCTTAGTAGGTCCATGTAGACCAGGATATGGATGGACAGTATATCTCCAGGGTCTTCTCCTGATGGTCTTTCCCATTATCTGTTACGTGAGCTTTTAAACAGGAGAAACCTAATACATTCTGGCTTTAATCCAATGGTGTATGCCCCATGTTATGGATGTGGAAGGGCCATCTTCCTACCCAGCTCTTGAGGTTGGATAAATTCCATTCCTAGGATGCCAAGGAATGGAATACCGATTATGGTCCTCCATGAGATGACAGTGAATGGGATGCTAATGATGGTCTTCCATGAGATGCCAGGGAATGGGATGCCAATGATGGTTTTCCATGAAATGCCAGTGAATGGGATGCCAATGATGGTCTTCCATGAGATGCCAGAGAATGGGATGCCGATGATGGTCTTCCATGAGATGCCAGGGAATGGTATGCCAATGATGGTCTTCCATGAGATGCCAGGGAATGGGATGCCAATGATGGTCCTCCATGAGATGCCAGGGAATGGGATGCCGATGATGTTCTTCCATGAGATGCCAGGGAATGGGATACCGATTATGGTTTTCCATGAGATGCCAGTGAATGGGATGCTAATGATGGTCTTCCATGAGATGCCAAGGAATGGGATGCCGATGATGGGCCTCCATGAGATGCCAGGGAATAGGATGCCAATGATGGTCTTCCATGAAATGCCAAGGAATGGGGTGCTGACAATGGGCCTCCATGAGAACAAAGAGGACCATCATTGACATCCCATTCCTTGGGATCCCAGCAATTCATCCAACCCCAATAGCTTTGTAGGAAGGTTGGATCACAGAACAGTTGAAGGCAGAATGGAAATAGCTTTGCATGTGATTTAAAGCTCCATGTTTTATTATATCTACTTCAACACTTCTTTCCAAAGTTCACAGAAGTCGTGGTTGACTTATGGGGCCCCCTTGGGATCATTTCTTCTCCCCTGAACTTTTTTGGAAAATGCGGAAGGGAAAAAAAGAACCATAAAATAAAAACCAAACCCACCAAACAACCTCCTCGCCGTCTGTACTTCTCTCTCATTACCGAAAGCAGCTCTCCATGTGGAGAACAGCTGTTCAAAGCCCGATCGCAGCCATCAAAACGCCCGTCTCAAACAAACAAATAAATGTACTTGCAGGACTCCGGGAAAAGGGTGTAAAATAAACACGCGGCACAAGCTGCCGAATTTTCTTTTAGCATTACAGCTGCTTCCCAAGATAAACAGCAAGTAAATGTCACAAAACATCAATACAGGAGAAATTAACCTGACAAAAGCGGCGCTCGCTCCCCCAACCCCGCTGTCGTTGCCGTCTTCCTCCTCTTCCAAACAATTCTGCATTTCTGGAGTCCCCCCCATCTAATGATTTTATTTTTCAATTAATTCCTTGACAAAATGCCAGGACCGGTTGTACTCCTGCTCCTGTACTTTTATGACTGTCGAGGGAGGCCGGGGTGGGGTGGGGGGGGGGGGACTCCTGGAAAAGTGACAGGAGCAGTACCCCCTCCTTTGAGTTGGCTTTGTCCAAAAGTCAAGGAACAGGAGCCAACAACAAGAGGGAAAAGATACCTATACGAGACTGACACTTGATTCAAGACTATGCAAAGACCCCATCGGATCTTGGAAGGCAAGCAGGATTAGCCCTGGTTAATGTTTGGCTGGGGGACCACTGATACCAGCTGCGGTGGGCTCTATTTTAGAGGAAGGCAAAGCCACCTCTCCTAAGGATCCCTGGCCTAAGAAAACCCGATGAAAATTCATGGAGGTCTATGGAGACTTAAAGGAACACAAACACACACAGTTAGAGAGATGAATAGAAAGGCCATACATATATTAAAGGGCCCAAATCCTGTTTTGGAAGCTATGCAGGCCTAGCCCAAGTTGGTACTTTGATGGGAGGGAGCCAAGGAATTTCACATGTTGCAGGTGATATTTCAGAGGAAGGATCTTGCCCAAACCACCTCTGAGGATTCCTTGCCAAAGAAACTCCTTTGAAATTCACGGGGTTACCATAGGTTGACAGGTGCCTTGAAGGCACTCAAGAACAATGGTTTCAAACTATAAGAAAGGAGATTCCATCTGAACATTAGGAAGAACTTCCTGACTGTAAGAGCTGTTCAGCAGTGGAACTCTCTGCCCCGGAGTGTGGTGGAGGCTCCTTCTTTAGAAGCTTTTAAACAGAGGCTGGATGGCTTTAGAAGCTTTTAAACAGAGGCTGGATGTCAGGGGTGCTTTGAATGCAATATACCTGCTTCTAGGCAGGGGGTTGGACTGGATGGCCCATGAGGTCTCTTCCAACTCTATGCTTCTATCCATGTTCCTCAAATGTCCAGAGCATGGGGGAAAGTGACTTTTTGGACTGTCATTCCCAGAATCCCCCAGCCACAGTGGATTTTGGGAGTAGCAGTCTCATAAAATAAAAAAGGAACCTTCCTCAAGTTGAGAAGGGCAGCCAATGAATACTGGCTGCTGTAGACTGTCTTTCCCAAGAAGACTCTCCCAATGTTCCCCAGTAGGTTTCTCTAGCACAGCCTTTCTCAACCTGGGGGTTGGGACCCCTGGGGGGGATCGTGAGGGAATGTCAGAGGGGTGGCCAAAGACCATCAGAAAACACAGTCTTTTCGGTTGGTCATGGGGATTCTGTGTGGGAAGTTTGACCCAATTATCGTTGGTGGGTTTCAGAATGCTCTTTGATTGTAGGTGAACTATAAATCCCAGACACTACACCTCCCAAATGTCAAGGTCTATTTTCCCCAGTGTTCACATTTAGACATATTGAGTATCAATGCCAAGTTTGGTCCAGATCCATCATTGTTTGAGTCCACAGTGCTCTCTGAATGTAGGTGAACTACAACTTCAAAACTCAAGGTCAATGCCCACCAAACCCTTCTAGTATTTTCTGTGGGTCATGGGAGTTCTGTGTGTCAAGTTTGGTTCAATTCCATCTTTGATTGTAGGTAAACTATAAATCCCAGCAATTACAACTCCCAAATGACAAAATCAACCCCCACCCTACCTCACCAGTATTCAAATTTAGGTGTATTGGGTATTTGTGCCAAATTTGTTCCCCTGAATGAAAATACATTCTGCATATCTGATATTTACATTATGATTCATAGCAGTAGCATCACTACAGTTTTGAAGTGGCAACGAAAATGATTTTATGGTTGGGGGTCACCACAACATGAGGAAGGGGAATATAATGGGGTCGCGGCATTAGAAAGGTTGAGAACTACTGCTATAGCAGGATTCAAATTGCTGTCTCTGGAGTCAGAATCCAGGACCCAAACCACTACCAACAATAAGTGGACCTTGTGTTCCGTTCATTCTACTGTGTATTGATGTGGCACCGAACTCTTCGTTTGGAGATGCTTTAAAGACACCATTATAAAAACCAGAGCAGAAATATGGATTCACATCTGCGCCACTGTCTTGAGCCAAAGCTGTGTGGGAAGCAGGAGGTAAAGGACCCATGCCCTCCACTGGCTCAAAATTAAGCACTTCTGGCCGAATTTGCTCACATCTTTTCAGCAGAGGCGCAGGAAATGGAGGCTCACCACAGCCCCCCGCGACCTCCCAAGCTTCCCCCCCTCGGCCCGAGATGTGCTCGCCTTCCCCTATCCCGGCTGCAGCCTGGGCTGAAAATTTCCCTTCTGTCAGTTTAATTCTTTGATCGATGGGGAAGAGCAGGAAATGCGGCCTCGCGCAGCTGGCCTCCCAAGTTACCCCTGGCAGGAGATCGCTGGCCCTGCTGGTGACGGCTGAGTGAAATGTTTGCGGAGCGCACCGAACACAAGTCAATAGTAATTTAGCGGGATTGGGAGCAAGTACCTCCACCGCACGAATTGCAGCTCCCGAGAGGGGAGGAGTGTGCACGGGATTATTACTGGCTCGCTCGGAAATGTTTCCAAAACAACCCTCCAAGGCGGGTGGAGGGAAGCGAGGGGAGGGAGGCGAGATGCTGGAGAGCCCACGGCACAATAAAACGTCACGCAAGAGGCAAAGCGATGCAGAAACTATGAGCTTGAGGAAAGAGCTGCTCAGCTCAGGGGCAACACAAGAATTCACAGCGCAAGCTTTGAAACTGGCCTTGCTGGGGAGGTCTTGATGCTTCTCTCCATTGTTTTTATTCCGGGAAAATGGGAAGGGAGACTAAGAGGCCACCCAGTCCATTGACAATGCTGTTGTAGACACATACCGTACATACTTGTGTATGTCTATCTCCTGTACAAGTCTATCTCATATTTATTTATTTAGAATATTTATACATGTCCTTCTCGACCTCCGAGGAGGGACTCTGAACAGCTGCCAGCAGGCAACAATTCAATGCCAGTACAATGTAAACACATAATAAAAACAACCACACACATAATAAAATAGTTATAAATATACATGTAAAACTGTTCACTATGTTAAAAATATCATCCAACTCAGTCCAAATTGCAGTAAAATAAAATCTTGTCACCACCAGTATAATCAGTCTATTCTGTGAATGCCTGATCCCAAAACAAGGATTTCAGTTTCTTCCGGAAGGTCAGGAGGGAGGGGGCAGATCTAATCTCACTAGGGAGAGAGTTCCACAGCCAAGGGGCCACCATGGAGAAGGCCCCGTCTCTCATCCCCTCCAAACGTGACTGAGATGGTGGTGGGACCAAGAGCAGGGCCTCCCCGGAAGATCTTAAGTTCCTTGATGGTTCGTACAGGGAGATACGTTCAGAAAGGTAAACTGGGGCAGAACTGTTTAGGACTTTATAGGTTAAAACCAGCACTTTGAATTGTGCTCGGAAGCTAATAGGCAGCCAGTGGAGCTGGTGAGACAAAGTAGTAGTGTGCTCCCTGCACCCTGCTCCTGTAAACAATCTGGCTGCCGAGCGTTGGGCTAGCAGGAGCTTCCAGGCAGTCTTCAGAGGCGACCCCATGTAAAATGCGTTGTAGTCTATATGGAATGTATAGCGTGGACCACCGTGGCCAAGTCATATATGGGTCTTTCTCATGTATAAGCCAAGGGCAGGTTTGGGGCTCAAGTTATGGATTTTGTTATGATTCTGCTATACAAAAACAACAGCATCCAAGCATAAGAAGGCCAGAAGCAGGGAAGGCTTGGACCACGGCTCTCATTATCCCTCACAGCCATTCCAAGCCTGGGCTATTTTATGCCAAGTTTCCAAATTGTGGTTTTCTGGATGCACCTAGTGCAGGGCTGTAGAGAAAAACTGCATGATCACAGCCTTCTTTGCTCCTGTATCAAACGCAAACTCGACGCTGGCGGGGCAGGTTCTGCTCCTTGAGCTGGTCAAGTCCTCAAGTCCTTTGGGGACAACGGCAAGTTGCCAGCCGTAGAGGTCGGTGCCGTCCACATTGTGGCAAGGTGAACGGATAAGTGCGCTGACCCTTGACTCGTGACAAAAGGAGCGAGGGGCAGGAAGGCATAGCTTGAGCAGTGTGGTCAAATTTAAAACCCATTTCCAACTACCCGAGAGAAGTACAAACAAAGATTTTCAGAGCAGATACCTCCAGCACTATTGTGCGCCGACCAATGGATTCCCAGGCGCCACAGCCAGGAAACCGGGCTGAAAGCCTCTGCCGGCTGTGGGCCTGCTGTTTCCAAATGCCTTCTGGATGAATAGTACACAGCTAGTGGATCACTCTGGCCTACACCAGGCTTTTCTGTCTGTTGCTTTCCTCCAGGAACAACAAAAAAGGGTCTCTGGAAGAATGTGTGATGGAAGAGGGGGTTGGCCCCCCCAAAATCAAATAAGAATGCACGCTGTATGGTGTAATGTGTGCCTAAAAGGAAAGGAATGGAGAAAAGGCTGCATGCACTCAAGGTTTGGCAAACATACTTTCTAACAAAGAGCCTTCCCTCCAGTTTTGAGGTTTCCCTGCAGAGAGGTACCGATTTTGGAACGGTATTTAGCACATCGTAGGTTGCGGGTTTTCTTTTCGACTGTTGCCCCTTTGGCTCGCATACATCCATGCTTCTCTTGAGGCAGCCCAAGGTATTTCACTGCCTGAAGCAGATCCCAAACAGTGCCTCGCGCCTTTAAAAAGGTCTTGAGCACTATCAGTTCCCACCTTGATCTCTTAGGGATGGGGAAGAAAATCTCTATTTGTCATTTCTGGTTAAGAAATGGGGTTTCTGTATGGTTGGGAAGATTTATAGAGCAGTGAGACTGATGTTTTCTCCCTGTATGGGAGAATACCATCTTTTGGTATGGATTCTTCCCTGGACAGATACAACGTGCCCTTTAGGAAGGGTTCTATTGCAAAACAGGCAATATTTGTGCCACAAAGAGGAGACCTCACATCAGCTCTTTTTTGCTAAGCAAGGCGGGGGACATGGGAGACCCACCGATCAATGTTTTATTCCCACCGGCTGGCGAGGGACAAAAACCTTACACTAATATTTGCCAACCGGTGCCGTTTGCTGCTGTCGATGCTTGTCGATAGTTGCAGGAAACAGCAGTTTCGGGCCAGAAATGTCAATGCGGTGGCCCCGATCCATCCCTCCTTTACAAGGCACTTCTCTTCCCTTTCACGGGGATTGCCACAAACCTCTTACAGGAAGCAGGTCAGCGGCTTGCCTTGCGTTAAGAATGCAGATACACAGATCTCAGGAGTCTCTTGAGAGAAAGGGGAAAGGGAAGCCAGGAGAGTAGGACCCCATCAGGTGTATATGAATCTGCCCTGGCTCTGTACCTGATTCTCTCCATGGTTCCTTACAAGATGGCAATGGCATGACACCACCGAGGCTAAGACGTGAAAATCACTGACTGACCATGGGCCAGTCGCTTTCAGCCTCACCTACCTTTCAGGATTATCATTAAGAGAACTTGGAAGGGAAGGGGAGCTCTCTTCCCTGCCCTGGATTCATTGGTAGAAAGGTGGAATAATATGAATAATTAATTGAGGGAAATATATATATAAATAACACTGCCTCAGGCCAACCTGAAAGTTCAGGATGGAAATGAGATCAGAACGCCGATTATGAGATTCAAAGCCAAATGTACACGTTCGTTGGGCACAAGATATCCTCATGCGAGAGCACCCCATCACCGAGGTTTGAGAACTAGTTGGGAAATGTTCCTGTTCACAGGAAATGGGGGTAATGGGGCTTAATAAAAACCATCAGCCAACCTCAATGCCACCCTATTTTATTAAAATGATGCCCCATTTCTTTTTTGAGCATTGTCTTAAGGAGCAATGATCTAAGGGCAATTGTCCATCTAGCCCAGTCTGAGGAATGTGTGGTCCACCAGGTCTTACTGGATCCCAGTTATCATCAGCCCCTACTAGTCTGAAGGATGATGGGAGTCATCTTTCATCAGCATCCTTGGACACACAACTTTAATCTAGCCCACAATCATCTACTTTGCAAGGTCTCAGATAGATGGTTTCCTCCATTACCTGCTCCTTTTACAGGATGATGCCAGGGATTGAACCGGGGACCTTTCATGAAGAATTCGCAGACTCTAGCATGCACTTCATTTCCTCTATGCCAGTATTTCATAGAATGCTAGAGTTGGAAGGGACCTCCAAGGGCCATCTAGTCCAACCCCAACCAAAGCACTCCCGACAGATGGCCATCCAGCCTCTGCTTCAAAGCATCCTGTTTGAGCCTCCTCTTCCAAAATTTGGCACATGGGGGCCTTCTCAGCCAAGGCAACCACAAGGACCATGGACTTCACAACACAACACATCAACAGCTTGGCTCCCCTGAGTCCTACCCAAATGCGCAGTTGCTGGCATGCGCTACAGTACCGTGAAAATGTTCAGCTGTTTTCCGCCGCAAGGCCTCCACCGTCTCCTCTGTGTCGGCCCATTCCAAGACCAGCCTCCGTCCGTACAAATGGGTGCTGTGGCAGAGGGCATTGAATGCTTGCTAGAGGAAGACAAACACAAAGATCACTGTCAGGCTAGTTGTTCAACACTGATCGTCCCACCACCCATCTCTCCCATTTCCAAAGGAGATTTCCAGTCAAGGCTCCCATGAATCAAACTTCACAGGAAAGCAGATCTTGGAAAGAATGTACGAATATAATCATAGAATCATAGAGTTTGAAGAGACCTCATGGGCCATCCAGTCCAACCCCCTGACAAGAAGCAGGAAAATCGCATTCAAAGCACCCCTGACAGATGGCCATCTAGCCTCTGTTTAAAAGTCTCCAAAGAAGGAGCCTCCACCACACCCTGGGGCAGAGAGTTCCACTGCTGAACAGCTCTCACAGTCAGGAAGTTCTTCCTAATGTTCAGATGGAATCTCTTTTCTTGTAGTTTGAAGCCACTGTTCCACGTCCTAGTCTCCAGGGCAGCAGAAAGGAAGCTTGCTCCCTCCTCCCTGTGGGTTCCCCTCACACATTTATACATGTCTATCATGTCTCCTCTCAGCCTTCTCTTCTTCAAGCTAAACATGCCCAGCTCTTTAAGCCATGAAATGATCGGGAGACACCAACATTACTCTCTACAATAGCGACAAATGCCAATCGTTTATTTGGTTCAATGAGTTATGTGAACTCAGGCCTTCAAAACATGGTTTTGGGGAAAGATTTTGGGCATTTTCTGGAATTTTTACAAGTGCTTTCTAAACATGTTTACAAAGCAACACATTGGTGACACACTACTACCAATTAACAACACTAATGACTTTTGAGGGAGAAATGAACACATTACACCCATGTCTCAGTTAACAAAGCCACAGGATACGTTTTGGGAAAGATGTCAACAGCTCTCAGGAAGGTTCAAAATACTTTTGGTTATATACGCAAGGCTTGCCTGACTGTATTGTTTTGTTTCTCAAAGGCATATTGTTAGGTTAAAAAAATATTTGCCAAATCATGTGAAACGGCACTGTTCCTTCTGGTGGCAACCTATTTTTCCATTTGGAAGATGCAGGAGTCCTTGGACCAACCACAACCTTTCCCCTTGAGTCCTCTCTTCTTTGCTTCTGCATTCCCTCGTTCAAAACTATTCAATTCCAATACAGTCCAAAAAACCCAGGAATGCCTGGTGCATGTCTTTGATCGAGGACAGAGAAACCATAGCTCCCCCCGCCTCATTATTGCCAATCAATGATCAGTGACGAGGATCTATTTCATCTGGGACCTGGACTGTGGTGCCCAAACTGGGAAAGTGTTGCCTGGAATTCAGTCTGGGGGGAATCCGCTTATGTCTGAGTCAATATTAGCTCGATTGAACTGCATTTCTTTAAAGGGGAAAGGAGCTGAATTGGGAAGATTTGAATCGGCACCTAGCCTGTTGCCTAAGTCCCAAGACCCATCCCAGATTGGAATTCTGCTCTTGGATAGAGGAGTCTTCATATTCATTTTAGAGAAACGGAAGCAGCAACAAGGATCAAATCTATCCCGTCGGTCCTCGTTTTTAATCCCTCCTTATAGAAATGCAGAGGAGACACGTACTCCCATTGCCTTCTTCGGTCTAATCCACTCTGAGCCCCAAAGACCCTTCTCTTTCTCTTTATTTTGCTGGGGGAAAAGAGGAGGAAGCTTTCCTATTCGGTTACATTTGGCTTCTCTGAAGCTTGAGATTCCTTATGCTCTTGCGACGCCGTCGACGTCAGTTGTTTTTATTTGCCAGCGCCCCGCTTGGGCTGTCGCCTGTGTTTTTCAAATGCCCATTTTCACACTGAATGTTACCCAATTAGCAGAGCAACTTGTCGACTTAAACAAACACTACGGCGGGGTGTTCGCATTTTTGGGGGGGGGGGGAGGCAAAGGCGGAGAGGAGGAGCTGGTGGCAGGGAGCTGCACTGGCTGTTTGCGTTGGCAGAAGCAGCCCTCCCAGGCAACTGTGGCTCTAATTGTAGGCTCTCCTTTGATAATTGGCACTTTTTAATTTCGCACTTCCCAGCGCTGGATTCGAGGGAGCAAGAGGGGGAGAGAGAGAACGGCATGGGCCCGTCTCTATGTGTAAGAATTCAAACAGCTGGGGCAATACTGGATTCTTGAGAGCAGGTTACAAAACCTACATGGAGGCAAAACAAATGAAATGCACAGATATAGCATGGGGGACACCTGGCTTGAAAGCAGTCCGTGTGAAAGGGATCTAGGTGTCTTCATGGACCACAAGTTGGACATGAGCCAACAGTGTGAGGCGGTAGCAAAAAAGGTCAATATGATTCTAGGCTGCATAAATAGGAGTATAGTGCTGAGATCAAGAGAAGTCATGCTCCCCCTCTATTCTGCTTTGGTCAGACTTCACCTGGAAAAATAACTCTGTGTCCAGTTCTGGCACCACAATTGAAGAATGATATGGACAAGCTGGAAGGCATTCAGAGAAGGGCATCCAAAATGATAAACGGTCTGGAAGCCATAAGGATAATCTTACAGAGCTGGGGATGTTTAGTTTGGAGAAAAGAAGGCTGAGAGAAGACATAAGAGCCGAATTCCTATATTTGAAAGGATGTCATATTAAGCAGGGCACCAGCTTGTTTTCTGCTGCTCCAGAGCATAGGACACAACGGAGCCATGGATTCAAATGGCAGGAAACGAGATTCCATTTAAAATTAGGAAGAACTTCCTGATGCTCAGAGCGGATTGGCAATGGAATATGTTGCTTTGGAATCCACTTCTCGGGGGTTTTTTCAGCAGAGGCTGGATGGCTATCTGTCGTTGGTGCTTTGATTGTGCCTTTCTGCATGGCAGAATGGGGTTGGATTGGATGGTTTTTATGGCCTCTTCCAACTCTAAGCTACTATGATTCGGGGGATATAAAGGCAATAGGAACATACACAGAGAAGGGGGGGTTCTATGTACCGGAAACATACACCCAGTAGGCCAACAATATCTGTCTTGGACTTGAATTCCAAACACTCCATGAGTCTCTCCAGCATGACAGCGCATGCTGTTCCCCAGATGTAGGGAGGAGGGAGGCAACCGTCTGGGCTCCAGCAAGGTGGACCCCATAGATCAAGGAACCCGGGCTAGCGGGTTCACCTCCCAGGGGTCCCATGGCTCACCAGATCTAAACGCTCTTAATTTGGGGGACAGGGACCACGCTGCCTCTTCGTTCCCCGTTGCTCCATTAAACGCTCAGCCCAAAGAGCCCTGAGGCGAGGCCATTAGAGGGACACAAAAGGCCGACAACATTAGGCGGTTGATGGATTTCCCATCATTCCTCAAAAACAAAGGGGCGTCCCAGCGCCTGCTGAGCACAAGTTCTGCGGTGCCATATGAGCTCTTGAAAGAGGGATGAGCATCGTTCCAGAATGGGTGATTTTGGGATTTCAGGAGCAGCTGAGTTCTTCATGCCTTCCAATGCCAGGGATTGCTCAGGGGACCATAGCATAAGGACAAGGGGAAGGGAAAATATTAAGAAAGTCCCCCTGCGCACAGAGGGGTGGTTGAGTGCTCAACATTTGGCACAAGGACCATTAAGCAGGGTTGGAGAGGAAGACAGTAGGGAGCTTCACCCATATAGTGCTGGACTATGGTTTGGAAACGCATTGCCTTTACCCATTTAAATAACTGGGCTTAAAGAGAGACAGACAGTGTGGATGAGGACTTTTCTCTTGGCTGACAAAGTTGAAAGGAAATCACGCAATCCCAATCCAAGAAGTAAAAGCAAAACAAAAAGTGGGGTGGAAGTGGAATGGAGGTTCCCAGTTGGGATGGAAAAATGCTCCCCCCCCCCAAAAAAAGGAAAAAGCCAGAAGAGCAGTGCCCCCTAATGGCCACAGCAAGAAATGCAGCCGTTCCTTGGATCCAGAGCAAAAACTAAGACCGCAAATGTCTAAAGCAGACTGAACAAGGGAAGTGAGCAGCTTGACTTCAGAGCAACTCAGGCTCATGAAGTTGTGGTTTTACAAGGTCTTTGGTCTACTCTGCCAAAGAGTGCTGGTGCCTCATCAAATTGCAGCTCCTAGCTTTACATAGCACTGAGCCATGTCAGTTCAAGTACAGTCAAACTGCTTTCAATCTACAGTTCACCGAATCATCGGAAAGCACAGGGACACTATCTCACCCAACCATGTAGGATTTGGAATAGGTTACAAGGAGCTTCTTACCTTGGCGTCCTGTTTCGTCAGGAAGTCCACAAAACCGAACCCTCGATGCGTTCCGGTGCCAACCATTTTCTTGGGGAGGCGGACTGTCTTCAGTTCTCCAAAAGTACTGAGGACAGAGAAGGCGGAGGGGAGAGAAAAATATGACAGTCTATGACAGGGTTCCTCAAACTTTTTAAACAGAGGGCCAAGTCACAGCGCTCAAGCTTTTGGAGGGCCGGATTATAATTTGAAAAAAAAAATGAACGAATTCCCATGCACACTGCACATATCTTATTTGTAGTGCAAAAAACACTTTAAAACAATACAATAATTAAAATGAAGAGCAATTTTAACACATATAAACTCATTAGTATTTCAATGGGAAGTGTGGGCCTGCTTTTGGCTGATGAGATATGATTGTTGTGGTTGTTGTTGTCGTTGTGCGCTTTCAAGTTTTTTCAGACTTAGGTTGACCCTGAGCGAGGCCCAGGTAAATGACCTTGGAGGGCCGTATCCACCCCCGGATGATTGTTGTGGTTGTTGTTGTTGTGCGCTTTCAAGTTTTTTCAGACTTAGGTTGACCCTGAGCGAGGCCCAGGTAAATGACCTTGGAGGGCCGTATCCACCCCCGGGCCTTAGTTTGAGGTCTATGATGGTCTATGATGTACTACCTCTAATAATGGAGGTAAGACGTAGCACTTGTGCCAGGTAGATGCACTACACATTGATTGTATCGCTCTTTTATAGATATACAAATTGGGATCTATCATGACCTGCAGTTGATTCAATGGTTTTAATTATGTCTCCAAAGGAAGCCTTTGCTTCACCTGTTTTGAACTTTGTGCCAGAGAGAAACACTTCCCTACCTTTCTCCATATCAAGTGTAATTATCTACAGCTATCACATTTCTCCTTTCTCTGCCTAAACAAAAGAGCCCCAACTCTGTTCCAAGCCCTGGATCGGTTGGCTTGTCTTGTTTGGGTGGGAGTACCATGGTCTTCCCTATTCAGGAATGCATCTACACTGCAGAAATAATGCAGTTCGGTGCCACTTGAACTGCCATGACTCCAGGCTATGGAAGGATGGGAGCTGTAGCCTGGTGAGGCACCAATTGTCTTTGGCAGAGAAGGCTCAAGAAAACCCAGTGAAATGACAACTCCGACAATTCCATAGACTTGAGCCATAGCACTTAAAGTGGTGTCAAACTGCATTCATTCTACAGTTTGGATGCCACCTTGTTCTGACTTTGGAAGCTCAGCGAGGCCATGGGTTAATCTGCGGATGGGAGATTATCAGGGGCTGCCAGCAAGCAATCTAGCCTGAAATCTTCAGAGAGAGTCGACAGGCCGCTTCCTAAGTTCCTGCCTCGAGTTTGCAGACAATGCTTGTTTACTTAGATTCGAGAAAGCGGGAGGAACACAGCAGGGAGCTGATTTGTGCACAAGCTCCAGTGAGGGAGAGAGGAAACGGCCTCATACCGAGGAGTCAAGACAACAAACCCATCCTCCCTCATGTCATCATCTTGGGCTGCAACAGATTCTTTCTTAATTTGGTGATTTTGGGGGGTGTTGTTACCTTGGTTAATGACTGAGAGTCAGAAAGCCTTGATAATTTCCTCAGTCTCTGGGAAGGCTTCTTTCAAACTCTAACCTCAGAGTCAGGAAAAGGCTCAAAAGACAACTATGAGCCATAGGTATCTTCATGGGGCGTTCTGTGCCCATTTGATGCCTGTGTGTCCTTTTATCCTGGAAGGAAGTGACTAGTGGGGTGCCCGAGTGGGCCCAGTGCTAGTCAACATCTTTATCAATGACTTGGACGATGGAATAGAAGGCATGCTGATTAAATCTGCAGATGACACCAAATTGGGAGGGAGAGCTAACAAAGGACAGGATTAGGATCCAAAATGACCTTAATAGATTGGAGAGCTGGACCAAAAGTAACCAAATGAATTTCAATAGGGAGAAATGGAATGCACTACACTTAGGCACTTGCAATGAAGTGCAGATATAGGATGGGTAACACATGGCTTGAAAGGCGTCAATGGGAAAGGGATCTAGGAGTCTTTGTAGACCACAAGCTGCACATGAGTCAAGAGTGTGATGCGGCAGTTCAAAAACCCAATGCGATTCTAGGCTGCATCAATAGGACTCCAGTGTTGAGATCAAGGGATGTCATAGTCACACTCTCTTCTGCTTTGAGCAGACCTCACCTGGAATAAGAAACCTATGTCCAGTTCAAGAAGAATATAGATAATCGGGAAGGTGTTCAGAGAAAGGCCACCAAAATGATCCAAGGTCTGGAAACTATGAATCCAAATGAGGAATCACTTACTACTTCATCACACTACAGAATGAATCCAGTTAAAATCCGGTTTCTGCCTCCTGCAGAATTCTGGTGCTTGTAGTTTAGTGAGGCCGTTAAAGGCTCCTCCCTAAACTACAAACATCAGAATTCTGCAGGAGGCAGAAACCGGATTTTAACTGGATTCATTCTGTAGTGTGACGAGGCCCTACTCTACTCTACTTTGGCAGGAAAAACGAAATGCAAAGATACAGAATGGGGGATGCCTGGCTCGAGAGCAGTACTTGTGAAAAAGATCTTGGAGTCCTCGTGGACAAGTTAAACATGAGTCAACAATGTGATGTGGCGGCAAAAAAAGCCAATGGGATTTTGGCCTGCATCAATAGGAGCATAGTGTCTAGATCTAGGGAAGTAATGCTACCCCTCTATTCTGCTTTGGTTAGACCACACCTGGAATATTGTGTCCAATTCTGGGCACCACAATTCAAGAGAGATATTGACAAGCTGGAATGTGTCCAGAGGAGGGCGACTAAAATGATCAAGGGTCTGGAGAACAAGCCCTATGAGGAGCGGCTTAAGGAGCTGGGCATGTTTAGCCTGAAGAGAAGGTTGAGAGGAGATAAGATAGCCATGTATAAATATGTGAGAGGAAGCCACAGGGAGGAGGGAGCAAGCTTGTTTTTTGCTTCCCTGGAGACTAGGACGCGGAACAATGGCTTCAAACTACAAGAGAGGAGATTCCATCTGAACATGAGGAAGAACTTCCTGACTGTGAGAGCCGTTCAGCAGTGGAACTCTCTGCCCTGGAGTGTGGTGGAGGCTCCTTCTTTGGAAGCTTTTAAACGGGCTGGATGGCCATCTGTCAGGGGTGATTTGAATGCAATATTCCTGCTTCTTGGCAGGGGGTTGGACTGGATGGCCCATGAGGTCTCTTCCAACTCTTTGATTCTATGATTCTATGATTAGGAAACCAGATATGTTCAATTTGAAGAAAAGAAGGCTGAGAGAAGGAGACCTGAGAGCCATGTTTAAATATTTGAAAAGTCAACCCATTGAGGATGAAGCTGGCTTGTTTTCTGCTGCCCTGAAGACTAGGACACAATGTAGCAATGGGTTCAAATTGCAAGAAAAGAGATTCCACCTGAACATTAGGAAAAACTTCCTCATTATTAGAGCCGTTTAGCAGTGGATTCTCCTTCTCTAGAGGTTTTCAAGCAGGGGCTGGAAGGCCATCTGTCAGGAGTGCTTTGATTGTGTCTTCTTACATGGCAGAATGACCCTTGGGGTCTCTTCCCTTCTAGGCATCTATGAGGTGTGTGTCTCTGAAATGTCCCATCAGGAATCCTTCTTTGGCTCTCCCCATGGCAAAACGCCTTCTAAAAGTCTGCCGCCTTTGCTGGCTCAGGGTCTGTTTATTGCTACTTCTTGTATAAATGGGAGGCGATGAATATGTAACGTGGGTCCCCGGTCGGCCGGGTGTGTGGTTTGATCTGACAATCTTCCCGGCACGTGGCAGCGACGGGGCCCGGCGACGCCAATGGGCCAGAGTGGGGCCCGCGCCTGGGAATAAACACGGTAAAGTGCCGTAAACGCTCTCGTGAAATGATAGAAGCTAAATCCAGGGAGTTAACCTGCTGCACCGCCGGCATGACCAGGCATCCATCTCCTGAATTTCCTCGGGCCTGCGCTGTGCGTAAGTGGAGCATTATGAAGCCTCAAAATGAATCTGCACGTCTCCTGCCTCGGAGCGCGCAACGTCTCCCCCCGCTCTCCTCCTCTGTCTCGCTCTTTCCTTTGAAACAAAAACACACAACAAGCTCAAACAAGGGAGCCGAAAGCAGCGGGAAGGCGGCATGTAATTTCAAAGTTGTCGGGAGGAAAAGGGGTAAAAACAAAAGCCCAAGGGGTTTTCTCGCTAGCAACTGTCGCGTTGGAGTGAAGGTTTAAGTCCAGTTGTGTAATATCAGAACGGGGGCTGAAATACCCTGAAGGCACCAGATCCTGTCTCATTTTGGAAGCCAAGTAGGCTCAGTCCTGGTTTGTCCTTGGATGGGAGACCACTAAAAGAAACCACAGATGATCATTCAAAGGAAGGATCTGCAAAACCACCCCTGAAGTTTCCTCATCTAAGAAAACCCTATGAAATTTATGGGGTTGCCATAAACTGATAGGAGACCTGAAGACCCATTATATAGTCCTCTGGTGTTTGGAACTTCAGCTCCCAGAATTTCCAACAGCTGGCCAGCCGGCTAGGGCTTGTGGGAGTTGAAGTCCTAAACATACAGAGGACCAAAGGTTGAGAACTATTGGTTTAGCATTGTTCTGTAAAATCTACTGTGGACCTCCAAGTTTTTTACTGGGATGTCTGCCATACCAGTTATTTGATATGCTAAGAATGAATGGCAGAAGTGACTTTTCAAAACTCTACTTTGTTTCTGTCATGCAATTTGGGCCTTGCTGCGAGCAAGCAGGTGCCTTTAAGTTGCTAATAAACCTATGGATCATGGGAATTGCAGTTTTACATGATGTCTTCACCCTCTCTGACAAAGAGTACTGATGCCAACGACAACTCCTCTGGGTTGTTGTAGGTTTTTTCGGACTATATGGCCATGTTCTAGAGGTATTCTCTCCTGATGTTTCACCTGCATCTATGGAAGGCATCCTCAGAGGTAGTGAGGTCTGTTGGAACTAGGAAAATGGGTTGCTATATCTGTGGAATGACCAGGGTGGGACAAAGAACTCTTGTCTGTTGGAGCTAGGTGTGAATGTTTCAATTTTCCTACTTCCAACAGACCTCACAACCTCTGAGGATGCTTGCATAGATGC